CAGCGACAGAATTTTGGATTTGGCATTGCTGACGGGGCGACAACATCCAATTGTGCAATGTGTGGTGTGAAAATCGGATGTTACAACTCGGTTGTCACGCGCCTGTGGCTGACAATTCGCATAGGGTTACCCATAATCTCGTCGTCAGCCAGTAATCGCCTACCAGGGTCCCTCGAGGGCCAATCGGTTGATACACACGCTGCCAAGCCAGCAGTGAATCGTTTTTCTTGCGACAGTTTGACCGTTCGCCAATCTGCCATGCAAAATGACAGCATTGCACTGGTTCTTCGTCCCGTTCACGCTGGCAGGCAGTTCAAAGCTCTGTCCCATTTCATTTGGGTCATTTCCACCACGGAGGTTCCATTCTCCCTTTTTTTGATCGTAGTGTCTGTGTTGCCAGAGGTGTTGCACATTTTCCGTTTTTGCCTGCGCTACAAGTTACAGAGGTTAATGTCTAATATATTTTCGTTGTCTTCTGTCCTCCCTCCACCAGGTCATCAATGTTGCTGTGTGTGTCGATATATCAAGGACCTTGGGCCGCCTGCGTCACTGGCGTTACAGTTAGACGCGTATTCGTTGCCGCGCAAATCGCGTGTTAGGTGAGATTTTTTTGTCAAACATTGTATGTTTACATTTTGTAGGCTATAGTGGGTTTAGCCTTAGGGGGTACACAAACTTAGGGTTTCCTACTTGTACCCAACTTTGTGCTAGTTCAATCATTCCTGTTTCGTTCTTTCTGACATGGTTTCAGAGCAGGTCCTCCGCTAGGACCGATTTTTTTTGAAGGGCCCACCACACTGACTGCCTACTAGCGCCCTCGTGCGCCCTACTGTCGGAGCGCCCTCGAGCGCCTCCTGTCAGAATATTATGCTCTAGCCTGTAGTGGGGTGCTCTATAGCGAGTACAACCCTTCTAGGGTTTGCTATTTGTATCCTCATTCTTGCTAGTGCAACTCCTCCTTCTTTGCCTAAACTGTTTCTTGCCTAGCTAGGGCTTTCCTAGCTATGGCGCCTTCTTCTACTGCTTATCTTCACATGGTATTAGAGCGATATGCTCCTGGCCTGTGGGCCCCACCTCACTGCTTCCGCTGCTACTGCTACTCCCTGTCCGCCGCGCGCCCCGTGGTGCGCGGCGTCGAAATTAGGGTTTTTCAGCCCGCCGTGCGCCCCGAGGCGCGCGGCGGTTTTCTGCCCGCCGTGCGCCCCGAGGCGCGCGGCGGTTTTCTGCCCGCCGTGCGCCCCGAGGCGCGCGACGGGTTTCTGCCCCGTCACTCGGCGCGTCGCCCCCAGGAGGCGCTACGACGGGCGACGGGGACCCGCGCGTCGCCCCCCGTCGCCCGTCGTGGCCTGCGCGCGGCCCGTACAGCCGGCGCGCGGCCCGTACGGGCTGTGCCAGGCCCGCGCGCGGCCCGTACGGGCTGCGCCAGGCCCGCGCGCGGCCCGTACGGGCTGCGCCAGGCCCGCGCGCGGCCCGTACGGGCTGCGCCAGGCCCGCGCGCGGCCCGTACGGACTGCGCCAGGCCCGCGCGCGGCTCGGGCCGCCTGCGCGCGGTTCGGGAGGCTGTGCCAGGCCCGTGGGCGGCCCGTTCTTCGCTGCCCCTGTCCTCCCCGCTGTCCCCCGTGCTTCTGAAGGCGCCCCACCCCTCCTTCTGCCCGTTCTCCTGGATTAGGGTTTGGGGGTGGGGGGTATGGGGGTGCAGCTTCTGTGTGCCGTTCCCTGCTCCTCCTCCTCCTCCGTCTCCCTGTGCTGCAGCTGCCGCTGAAGGGGGGTGGACCTGTTGGAGCCGTCGGAGTGGTACTAAGGGGGGGTGAAGGGGGAGTGGAGCTAGGGGTGAAGCAGGGGGTGTGTGTCAGGGGGGGTGGTACTGTTTGGGGGAGGTTGAACGGAGGTTGCCGTCGTGTCGCCAGCAGCACCTGTAGTCCGGGGAGTTGCTCCGGTAGCCCAGTCGTAGCCACCTGTGCCAGTCGCCCGTGGGTCCGTTGCTCGTCTGCCGCTACTTTTAGCCGCGGGGCCAGTTACTCCAGTAGTCCGGAGCGCTGTTCCGGTAGCCGCTGTGCCAGTGTGCCTCCTGTTGCCCGTGTGTCTGCAGCTTCAGCCGTCGCCTCCTATCTCCTCTCCTCTCACTGTCCCTCCTCCTCCTCACTTGCCCGTTGTGACTACCACTAGCTTTGCTCATAATTGTGAACTTTAAACTATTGCTTCCTGAACTTGTGCTCAGAATGTGTGGTGACATTGTGATCCACCCTGAGCTTGTTCTGCTTTGCTTGCTCTGCTGATTACACCCCACTTTGGCTATGGGGGTGTGTCAGAATATTATGCTCTAGCCTGTAGTGGGGTGCTCTATAGCGAGTACAACCCTTCTAGGGTTTGCTATTTGTATCCTCATTCTTGCTAGTGCAACTCCTCCTTCTTTGCCTAAACTGTTTCTTGCCTAGCTAGGGCTTTCCTAGCTATGGCGCCTTCTTCTACTGCTTATCTGCTTATCTTCACACCTCCCCCCAGCGCCCTCGTGCGCCCCTCCTTAGCGGCCCCTTACGGCCCCGTCGACCCCTTAGCGGCCCCTCACGGCCCCGTCGACCCCGCGCGCCGCCCCTTAACGGCCCCTTACGGCCCCGTTGACCCCGCGCGCCGCCCCTTAGCGGCCCCTTACGGCCCCGTCGACCCTGCGCGCCGCCCCTTAGCGGCCCCTTACGGCCCCGTCGACCCCGCGCGCCGCCCCTTAGCGGCCCCTTACGGCCCCGTCGACCCCGCGCGCCGCCCTCTAGCGGCCCCTGACGGCCCCGTCGACCCCACGCGCCGCCCCTTAGCGGCCCCTCACGGCCCCGTCGACCCCGCGCGCTGCCCTTTAACGGCCCCTTACGGCCCCGTCGACCCCGCGCGCCGCCCCCTAGCGGCCCCTTACGGCCCCGTCGACCCTGCGCGCCGCCCCTTAGCGGCCCCTTACGGCCCCGTCGACCCCGCGCGCCGCCCCCTGGCGGCCCCTTACGGCCCCGTCGACCCCACGCGCCGCCCCTTAGCGGCCCCTTACGGCCCCGTCGCCCCGCGCACGGCCCCTTATCGGCCCCCTACGGCCCCGTCGACCCCGCGCGCCGCCCCTTAGCGGCCCCGTCGGCCCCGCGTTCGCCCCTTAGAGGCCCCGTCGGCCCCGCCAGAACCGAGCCGCCCCACGCGCGACCGCCACGGCCCCGCCAGAACCGAGCCGCCCGAACCGAGCCGCCCGAACCGAGCCGCCCAGCCCGAGCCGAGCCGTGCTTCCCGAACCGAGCCGCGCCGCCCTCCCCGTACTGAGCGGCCCTCTCTGGACTGAGCCGCCCTACCTGAGTCGCACAGACTGTTGTTTTTAGGGTTTCGCCTGCTGCTACTACTACTGCTACTGTTTCTTCTACTGCTGCTATGGCTAGCCCCGCTGTACTCGCTTTTGATGCCGAGGGCCGCCCAGTGAAGTTTGAGATCTGGCTAGATGACTTGCACCTGTTCCTCCAGCTCACTGCCAAGGAGGACATCTCGCTGTACGATCACGCACTAGGCCTCGCTGCTGCCCCTGCTGTTACTGCTGACAGTACTGCCCGCTCACAGTGGCAGACTCGTGATGCCCACGCTCGTTTCGCTATTCGCAACTCCCTGCCGGTAGATGAGCGCGAGCACTTTGGCCAGCACAAGACTGCACAGGCACTGTACACTGCTGTAGTTGCACGCTACTCCTCACCTGCCTCTGCTGCGCTAGGCCGTCTCTCGCTCCCCTACCTGTTCCCAGACCTGTCCGCTTTCGCCACAGTCGCTGACCTCACAACGCACCTCCGCACTAGTGAGGCTCGCTTTCGTGCCGCTATGCCCGCTGAGTTTCTTGCCACCCACCCCCCCCCCGCTCTGGCTCACTCTCTACCACCTTGTCACCCGTCTCCCTGACTCTCTTCGTGCGGTCAGGGACCACTTCCTCGCTCGCTGCCCCACTGAGCTCACCGTTGACCTGCTCGAGAAGGACCTGCTTGCAGCCGAGACTAGCATAGTCGCTGTAGCTGCCTCTCGTGGCGACCCCCGCACCCCGTTCTTCGAGGGGTGTTCCACTTCCCCCCTGCTCCCCTCTGTCGCCTCTGCTGCTGCTGTCGACCTAGTTGGTACTGAGCAGGTCGGGACTGCGTCCGCTCCGAGCTGGCGCCGCAGCGGCAAGGGCAAAGGGGGCAAGGGAGGTGGAGGTGACGGCGGGGGAGGCGGTGGTGGGGGCGGTGGAGGCGGTGGGGGTGGTGGCGGGGCAGGAGGGGCTAGTGGCAGTGGTGGGGGTGGTGGCGGCAGCAGCGGAGGAGGTGGCCGGGGTGGGGGCGGTGGTGGGGGCGGCGGTGGACGAGGCGGCGGCAGGGGCGGTGGTGGTCGAGGTGGTGGCGGCGGAGGTGGTGGTCGTGGTGGCGCTGGCGGACAGCAGACTCTCTCTCCCCAGGAGCTTCGTGAGTGGTACTCTCAGCACGGGGGGGGGGGGGGGTGGCCTTAGCTGCACGTACGTCATCCGCACTGGTGAGCGCACTGGCCAGACGTGTGGGAGGGCGCACACCACGCAGCGCTGCTTCTCCCGCCTCGACGACGCTTGGCGCACTGAGCTGCCTCGCTGGTGGGATCTAATGAAGAAGAACATTGATGTCTTTGCTCTTGACTTTGATGCTATTCTCACTGCCATGTATGTGTTGTCTACTAGTGGAGAGGGTGATCAGTACCTGCGTGTTCCGCCCGACCCGGGCATTCGCACCAGTGAGGCTGCCGCTCTAGGTGCTTGCGTGTCTGCTGCCCCAGGTGCTGGTGAGGCTGCTGCGCTAGGTGCTCACGTGTCTGCTGCCCCAGGTGCTGGTGAGGCTGCTGCTCCAGGTGCTAGTGAGTTTGCGCCGCAGAACCGGAGCCCGCGATTACATGCGGTGAGCTCCAAGGGCGTGAAGAACGCCCGTCAGGGAGCGCCACAGCTCCCGGACCACAAGCGTGCTTGCGCCGATCGCGGCGGCTCTAGAACCAGCACGCAAATGGCGCCTCAGGCTGCGTACAGCCTCATCGAGCTGCCCAGCAGCCGCAACTCCACCCTCTACGGGCGCAGCCAGCACGGGCGCCAGCTACACTGCGAGCTGGTCGGCTGCATCCAGGCACGAATCGCGGTGGCGATCCTGGAACGTCTCGGGGGGAACTGCAGGAAGTGAGGAATGCGCGAGAACCTGTATCAGGAGCAGAGCGTGAAAGCTCTCCGCGAGGCGGAAGAGCTGGGCGAGAGTGGCCTCTGGAACGCGGGACTGCGGAGGCTGTAATGCCTGCGCCAGAAACTGAAACGGCTCCTCGAGGGCGGGAGTTGCAGAACCGCCGACCCCGGGATGGGGATACGGCGATCCCCCTCCCGCCGCCACAAATTCAACTCCCGCCACAGGCGGAACGGGCGGGAGGCGAAGCCGAGACCCAGGGACAGGAGCAGAGGCAGAGGCAGCAGGAGGCGACGGGGCAGTATTCTGATGCGGGACGGGAGCGGCAGGCGGCGGATCCACCGGCAGCACAGCCTGTCGGAGAGCAGCACGTGCCGCGACGGCGTGAGAGCTGCCTTGGGTCTGGGCGGCCCTCTCCTCCCGCAGGCGCGGGCGCGACAACAAGCACCGCAGGCAAGGGAACCGCGGGGTCGGCGACAGACACCGGGGGTGCAGCAGGGGACGCCTGGGGTTCAGTCGGCACTGGCTGCGCGGAGGGAACAGCAGCGGCAGGTGCAGGAGCCGGAGCGACAACAGTCGCTGTTGATCCCGGCGCTTCCGCGACAAGGGGAGCCTCGGGTCCGGGGGGAGGAATCTTTTCAGAGGCTGTTGGCGAGGGCTTCGGAGCCGGAGGCAGAGGGGGCTTCGTCGCCGTGGTCGCCCTTTCGGGCTCAGACGGAGGCCTGGAGACCATTGCCGACCAGGAGGCAACGAGCTCTGGCGACGGCTCAGGCGCACCAGGAATCACCATCGCGTGGACGGGGGGCTCGAGAAGAGAGGAGTCAAGAGGTTAGCGGGGCAGGCGGAGGACCGGAGAACGGGTATCAGGCGGCAGGGCGAAGGGCTTTAATAGCTCTGGTGGCAGCTAATGAAGTCGAGGAGAGAAATGACCCCTCTTATAGCGTGGAAGTGGAGCCAGAGAGTGAAAACGAAGAAGGAGTTGGTGCTGAGACAACAAGGGAAGGACTGGGAAGGAGAGGACCAGGTGCAGCCAATTTACCCACGGCAGGAACGCACGGACAATCAGGGCCGTCGGCAGCTGATCGAACGCACGTGAACCCATCTCGGCAGCATTCAGCGAGATCGAGCCGCGCTCGAAGAAATCGGACCGCAATTCCCAACCACTCGTCAGTCGCGACCCCGCAGTTGCCCCGCTATTTTTCGCCAGAGGAGCTGGCAGTGAGGAGCGACATGTTCGCTGACATCGCGAACTGGGATATTTCCGCCCTCTGCGACAGTCGACAACCGCCCCTGTCAAGGCGATTACCGCCAAATTTGTGCCAGCTATTTTCGCTGGCACTCCTGACACCCCTACACCACCTCTCGCGAAACCCCGATTCCGAGGCTGGCTGGCGACTGCTCCTCCTCCTCCCGCGTTTAACACTTCGCCAAGCTTCGCCAAAGCACCCGAACTGGCCACAAATCAAGGCCCGGCTTCGGGCCTTCCAGCGTGGCGAGTGGACTCAACTCTACCAGGAGGCAGTAAACGTGGTCAACTCCCCTCCGCCCCCGCGTCATCAACCCGATGTGACAGGTGTTTTGAGTCGAGCGGAGGGGTTGGCAAAACGTGGCAGTCTGCGCCGTGCCGTGCTGGCGCTCGAGTCAACACCCGTCTGCACGCCGGGTCCAGAAATTCTGGCTGAACTTCGCCAGAAACACCCGCCAGCAGGAGCAGAGTCGCTGACTTGGCAAACGACCGACACCCGACCCCTAGGCATTTCACACGCAGAATTTGCGAAGCTGCTTGGGCGATGCGATAATGGTGTGGGGGCCGGACCCTCAGGAACGACATTTGAACATCTTCGCGACGCGGCAGTAACCAACGCATCCGTCTGCACCCATCTGCACGCCCTGGTAAACACAATTTTAGGGGGGAATCTTCCAGCCTCGGTGGCAGACCTGCTGACAGCATCTCGACTCATTGCCCTGGCCAAGCCTGGAGGAGGTGCCCGACCAATCGCGATCGGCGAATGTCTGACGCGTCTGGCTGCCAAGGCTGCGCTGTTGGTCATGGGCGAAGCTGCACGTGATCATTTCCTACCCCTACAGTACGGAGTGGCGGTACCTGGAGGGGCGGAAGCGATAATACATGCCGCCCGAACATATGTGGATGGCCACCCGAACAGCCTGGTACTACAGACCGACATCGCGAATGCTTTCAACAGCATTTCACGACAATCCATCGCAGCAGCGTTACAAGAGCCAACTCTGTCGCCGCTGCTCCCACTGGTTCGCCTGACCTACGGTAACCCATCGCGGCTCTACCTGGATTCGAACTTTGCGAGCGAGCCCCTGCGCAGCGAACGGGGCGTTCGCCAGGGCGATCCACTAGGCCCGCTACTGTTTGCGGCGGGAATACACCCCACACTTCGCGACACTGCAGCAGCATACCCTGGGGTGCTTTGCTTGGCTTATGCAGACGACGTGACATTCGTGGGTGAACACCGTGCAACTGTAGCTGCCTTCAACCACTTCACCACGAAGTTGGAATCACTAGGCCTGAAGCACAACCCGCAGAAGTGCACGGCATGGAGCGCTGCTGCGTGCGACTCCACTGGGCTGCCTCCAGGGGTGCCGTTCTGCACGGACGGCATCCGTTTGCTTGGGAGTTATCTGGGGGCGGCCGACGGCGCAGCTACGTTCTTGGCAGGGCAGCTGAGGGACCTGGCGAAACCGTTACCACTCATCGAGCGGGCTGATCCTCAGGTTGCCTCGCTGCTGATCACGCGCTGCATCTCTCGGCGCGTGGCGTATCTCACCCGAACAACTCCCCTCAACCTCGTCTCCCGGGATACATGGACTGAGTGGGGCCGTGACCTCCTCTTAGCACTCCTTACCTCGTGCAACATTCGCGCTCCGGCGGGCAGAGCAGAACAGTCACGCGTCTGGGCGCAGGCGTCCCTGCGTCCTTCTCTTGGGGGAATAGGCATTACTGACCCCGTCGTTGAGGGAGTTTACGGTTTCGTCGCGAGTTTCACACAGGCGGCTCTGCTCTTCTCCACGCTCACGCTAGACACGGACTCCGCACTATCTCACGCGCGCAGCCATATGCTCCTGCCTAGGGACGAGAGCACACCGCTTCACTCCTGGCTCACCGAGTGCGAGACCGCCCTGCCTTCCGATGCGCGAGAGCTGCTAGAACGGGAACGAATTAAGCGGACGGATGTCAAGCTGCAGCACGCCCTTGCCCTACAGGTCCACGGTAGCCGCTACGCTGGGCAAGTTGAGGCGACGAGAGACATGGAGCTGAATCCGCTGGCAGGCCATACGCAGCGGATGTTCTCTCTAACGGGCTACGGCACGGGGGACTGGCTGACGGCAATTCCTATAGAGGCAACCAGGCGCATAGGGCCGGTACACTTTGCCAATGCTGTCAGATTCAGGCTTGGGTTGCCCTTCTCCACCCCCAAAAACTGTGACTGCTCGGATCACACCGAAATCCTGGACCCCCGCCTCCCAAATCACCTCCTACGCTGCGGCACCGGCAAGCATCGCATCAACACCCACAACGAGCTCCGTGATGCTTGCATTAGTATGGCACAGGACGCGGGTTTTATAGTCCACAGCGAGTCGGCTGCCCACTGCCCTATCGAGGAGCAGACGGCCGATTTCACCATGACCGATAGGAGCAGTGGGGCGGTTTGGGTGTGCGACGTGACCGTGACAGACCCCATCAGTACTCGGGACCCACAGGCACAGAAAGGCAGGGGATGGGCGGCCAGGGAGCAGGCAGACAAGAAGATTCAGCACTATGCGAACAGACCAGAGACAGTCGGCTTCTTTCCACTGGCGGTGGAGACCTATGGCTGCCCATGTGCAGAGGTCCCCGTCTTCCTTAAACTGCTGGCAGACACTGCGGCTCGGCGCCACTTCAACGCCGATTCTAACTCCTATCATGCCGCTAAGTTTCTGCATCAGTTCAGGCAGCGGTGGTCGGTTGCCCTTCAGAGAGCACAGTCAGTGGGCCTGCTCATGAAATTGGGCGAGGCGGCAGCAGCTGAGAACCCCCCGGTAGGGGGTATTGGCCATGAGCTACACCTAGGGGATTGTTTTGCTGTTTTGGAGCCACTCGTGGAACTGTAGAGGGAATAGGATGAAATTGCATGCTTCTGAACCTATATGTGTGTACCTTCTGCCATATCAATATACGGACCATTAGAGAGAGAGAGAGAGAGAGAGAGAGAGAGAGAGAGAGAGAGAGAGAGAGAGAGAGAGAGAGAGAGAGAGAGAGAGAGAGAGAGAGAGAGAGAGAGAGAGAGAGAGGACCCTAGCCTCTGCTCTCTTCCCTCTGCCCTCTTCCCACTGCCTCCCTAGCCTACATAAGAGGCCCTTTGGGGTCTCTCTTCCTCATTATTTGGGTGGTGGCTGCATTTTCTCGCTCGTTCGAGAGAGTGAGAGAGAGAGAGGACCCTAGCCTCTGCTCTCTTCCCTCTGCCCTCTTCCCACTGCCTCCCTAGCCTACATAAGAGGCCCTTTGGGGTCTCTCTTCCTCATTATTTGGGTGGTGGCTGCAATTTTTCGCTCGCGTCGACCGCCTTCGGCGGCCGACGCTCGACAGCGCGGCCTTCGGCCGCGCGTGAGGGGACGGCAAGGGAACGGCGCAACAAGTATTCATAAACAAGACATGCATACAAGCAGGGTCATCAACACACGGGCCTAGGAGAGACATGGAGCGGACAAGTGCGGAAACTACAACCGATCCGCCACCCGCGGATCACGCGGCACCAAATACTACATCTGATCCGCATCAAGGACGGCAAGCAAGCCCGTCAACGAGCGATGAAGCTCGCGCACCACCACAGTGGTTGCGCCGATCAGGTCGACTGCAGTCGCTGCGCGCATCGCCCGGCGCAGTCCACGGAGCGTAGTCCCAAGCTGTCCAACGCCCGCAACTCCACCCCGCGCGGGCGCAGCCAACACGGACGCAAGGAGCTCGGCAAGCCGGTCAGCGGCATCCGAGCACTCGTCCAGAGGGCCGCCTTCCAGAGGCACGCCGCGAGAAAGTGCCGCGCGACAATACACCTGGATCAAGTGAACAGCCCGCAAACCCTCAGAGAGGCGCCAAAGCTGCCCCAGGGACGCCTCTGGCACATCCGCCGAAGGAGATGGCCCCACAAGTGGGTGCACCGGAAGATCAGCATACGCAGGAGCACGAGCCACAGGCAGTAGAGTTGGATACTGCGGAGTCACCGGTCCTCCCCCCAAAGACACGAACTCCACGCCTGCCACAGGTGGAACCCACGGCAGGCGCAGACGGTTCCCACGTACAGCAACAGATGGCACGGGAGCGCGAGGAGAAGGAGCGGCAGGACCGGCGGCTAGAGAAGGAACGCCAGGACGTGGCGCCGCATGCTGCGGGTGATTCGGGCCCGCCACGTCAGCTTGAGCATCACGGACCGCCGACGTTACCAGCTGTCGGATTTCCGCCGGAGTCATCGGGGGCTCCTCTGGGGGAGCACCACGACCATAGCCGCGACCCCCCCACCAGCTACCACGACCGCCGCGACGCGCGGTCCAGTTCCCCTGGGATCGGCGGCCCCGAGGAGAATCTTGTCGGCGCCGCGACGATTCCCTCTCATCATGTAGGAGAGGCGAATGAGGTCGGGACGGGCGGCGGCCAGGTGACTGTGGGCGACGAGGCTGCCCGGTCGGAGCAACCGGAGGCGCCACAGGCGCCGACTGCACCTCCGCCAGGCTCGGGCCGGCGTTGGTGGTTAGAGGTGGCTGGTAAGACGGGTCCGCCACAGCAGCAGAAGGTGCCACGGTGGGCGCAGCCAGTGGCGGCAGGAGGGCTGCCCCAACAGCCGGCGACGACGCCGCGACAACAGGCGCGGATGGAGGCACTTCCGCGGGGACAAGGGGAACCACCAGGGCAGGCTCAGGAAGATGCGCAGTATCAGACGCCGCAGCGGGCGCGGGAGCAGACGCAGGAGCTGACGCCGAGGCGTGCGCGTGAGCAGGCGCCGACGCAGGTGGGGGACCAGGCGCCACAGCGGGCGCAGTTAACGACGTCACGACAGGAGCGGGCGCCACAGCAGGCGCAGGGACCGGGCCAGATTGAGTCACGGACGACGGAGCGGACCGTGGTGCGCGAGGAGGCACCATCCCCTCAGCCGCCGGTGCTGGGGCCGACAAGGTCGGAAGGGCAGCTGCAGCAGACGCCACGACAAAGGGCCGTGGCGAATACGAATAATCGTCGCCTATCGACACTGGCATCGCGGGGCGGACGAGGCGGCAGACGAGGAGGTGTGACGGAGAGGGGAGGGGGTCCAGAAAATGGATTCCAGAGGGAAGCATGCCGTGCCTTAACTCGAAGAGTGGAGAACACTGAAGCTGAGGAGGAGGCAGGAGATCCAACGTTTATAGCGGAGGTGGTGGAAGAATCCACCACAGAAGAATCGGGGGAGTTAGAGGAGGAGGAACGGGAAGGCAGACGTCGGGCAAACCCAACACCACGCCGAGCCGCTTCAATTCCAGCAGCAACAGGTGGCGAATTAAACCGGACGGTACCGGATAGCACCGCATCAGAGTCCCGCCAATTCTCGCCTGAACAATTGGCCAGGGACCAGGTGCGGTTCGGCGAGGTGGAATTATGGGACCTGACCCCTCTTCGCGACAGTCGTCAGCCCCCACTCTCGCGCAAACTCCCTGCTGACATTCGCCCACTATTCGCCACAGCCCTCCTGACACCACTCCTCCACCTCGCGCGTAACCCTGCGTCAATCGCAGGCTGGCGCCTGCTACTCTTTCTCCCGTGCCTCACCCTTCGCCTCCCATCAACGGAGAAGCCTGATTGGCCGGCGGTCAAGAACCGACTTCGCCAATTTAACAAAGGCGAATGGCAGCAACTTTACGATTCAGCTGTTACCGCAATCACTGGACCACACCCGCCTCGCCACACGCCAGATGCCCTCGGCAAACGTGCGAGGGCTGAGGGCCTCGCACGAAAAGGAAGCCTTCGCAGGGCGATCCTCGCCCTTGAGTCAACGCCGGTCGCCAACCCATCTGCACCCATCCTCGCCGCTCTCAAAGCAAAACACCCCCCCGCGCCACCCGGCATCATCGATTGGAACGTCCCCGATACTGTTCAAGCGGCGTCGATCGAAAAAGGGGACTTCATTAAACTGTTGTGCCGTTGTGAGAACGGGGTAGGAGGAGGACCGTCGGGTATGACATTTGAACACCTGCGCGACGCATCACTCGCCAACGCAGGGGTTACCACACACCTCCACGCCCTCGTCAATACTATTTTGGGAGGCAAACTGCCTGACGAAGTCTGCTCGCTACTGACAGCCAGCCGTCTCATAGCTCTGGCCAAGCCTGACGGTGGAACTAGACCGATAGCAGTAGGCGAGTGTATACTACGAATAGCCGCCAAGTCAGCCCTCTCAGCCCTATCCAAAGAATGCCGCGCGCATTTCCTCCCGTTACAGTACTGCGTATCTGTCCCGGGCGGTAGCGAAGCGATTATCCATGCCGCGAGGGCCTTCACCTACGCAAACCCAGGAACGCTGATACTGCAAGCCGACTTAGCGAACGCCTTTAACTCGATTAGCCGTGCAGCAGTAGTCAGTGCACTTCGCAACACCGACCTCCAAGGCCTTATTCCCCTCGTCAAAGCATCCTATAGCAAGCCGGCCCAGTTGTTCCTTGACGCGGGGTTCGGTTGCGAGGCACTAACTAGCGAGACAGGCGTGCGACAGGGAGACCCGCTCGGCCCGCTGCTGTTCGCCGCAGGGATCCACCCTATTCTCACCACGACAGCAGCAGCCTTCCCTACGGTTCTATGCCTTGCATTCGCTGACGACATCACCTTCTTAGGCCCCGCTGCTGACTGTTCTGCCACTTTCCGCCACTTCACGGCTGGCCTACGCGACATAGGACTTACCCACAACCCAGGGAAGTGCGCCGCGTGGAGTGCAGCAGCAACAGACCCCCAGCAGCTGCCCGAGGGCGTCCCGCTACGCACGGAGGGGCTGAGAGTGCTAGGAAGCTTCATTGGCACGACTGACGGAGCGGCAGCCTTTATACGATCCCAGCTCGAGACACTGTCGTCCCCGCTGCCCCACTTAGCAAAAATGGACCCCCAGGTAGCGGCATTACTCCTAACAAGGTGTATCTCCAGGCGCATTTCATACCTAGCCCGCACCACACCCCTATACCTGTTACCCGAAGCGGAGTGGTCAGGGTGGGGCCGGGCGCTGCTGTACACACTTCTAGATGCCTGCGGGGTGCGCCACCCAAGGGGAGAAACAGAAGACGCACGTATCTGGGACCAAGCCTCACTCCCACCAAGCCTAGGCGGCCTAGGCCTCGCCAACCCAGCAGTCGAGGGCCGGTACAGTTTTCTGGCAAGCTTTGTGCAGGCACACACACTTCTCGGTCAGCTAGAGGGGCGGGCAGGGGCCACTTTGACAGCGGCACTAGACACCCCCGCAGCAGCCGACCACAGCCCCAATGAGCTGCAGAGGTGGATCGGGGACTGCAGGGACAGCCTCACGCAGGAGGCGAGGGACCTCATCTCGGCGGAGCAGGAAAAACCCAAGGGCCAGCTGCAGCACCGCCTCGCTCTCCTAGTCCAAGGGGGCCGGAGTGCTGCCCAGATCACCGCGTCTAGGCAGATGGACCTGAACCCATTGATGGGCCACACCCAACGCCTCATGTCCCTCACGGGCTACGGGGCAGGGGACTGGCTCATGGCGATCCCCTACATGCCAGCGCTCCGGTTATACCCCTGCCACTTCACGTTCGCCCTACAGTTCCGGCTCGGCATGCCGCTCTCGGTTCCTGACTGCTGTGACTGCAACAAACGAGTCCCCATTCCGGATAAGAGGTTGCCAAACCACTTGCTGCGGTGCGGGACTGGCCACGGCCGGACCAACACGCATGATGAGCTACGGGACGAGTGCATTCGTATGGCGCAAGATGCTGGATTTGACGTGCACAAAGAGTGCACCGCCTTCAGCCCGGTTGACAACAAGAAGGCCGACCTGGCCTTCAGGGATGGGAGCTCGGGAGCAGTATGGCTGGGAGATATCACAATCACCGACCCCATCAGCAAACGGGACGAAACTGCAAGGAAGGGGAGGGGCTGGGCAGCGCGGGAGGCAGCAGATAAGAAGATAGGACTACACCTCGGCAGGGCAGAGTATGCTGGATTTGTCCCGTTGGCAGTAGAAACCTATGGCTGCCCCTGTGATGAGGTACCCTCCTTCCTGAAGCTACTGGCAGATAAAGCTGCACGGAAATTCTTCAATGCGGACCCATCTACCTATCAGGCCGCGAAGATGCTCCATCAGTTCCGCCAGCGCTGGTCTATTGCCCTCCAGAGAGCTCAGGCAGTGAGCTTCCTCTCAAAGCTGAACCTGGCTGCACGAGCAGAACACCCCCCACTGGGGGGACCAGAGGGGGAGATGAACCCCGGTGACTGCTTCACAACACTAGAGGCACCTTAGAGGGAACAAGGGGGGCGGGGGGGGGAAGAGAGTAGGGAGGGAGGTGTTTGCTTGCTTGTCCTTGTGTTTGCTTGCTAGTCCCTATGTTTGCTTGCTTGCTTGCCATTGTGCTATCTAGGTTCCATCCATAGTCTTTGCATGTCTGTACCTGCCCTTATTATCAATACAAAGGACCATTTGAGAGAGAGAGAGAGAGAGAGAGGGCAGCGGGGTGCCTGTAGGCTGTGTAGGCGTGGGTTTTGGGATGCCAGGGATGAGTGGGTTTGGGGTTCTCCTATGGGCTTGGTTTGATGGGTGTTCTGTCTGTTCTCGTTTTGCTTGCTAGCATGGTTTCCAGGTTGCTTGCATGCCTTGCTTAGACCAGCTAGTCCTTCCGCTATGACCATGCCTGTACCTTATGAACACTATCAATACATGACTGCTTGAGAGAGAGAGAGAGAGAGAGAGAGAGAGAGAGAGAGAGAGAGAGAGAGAGAGAGAGAGAGAGAGAGAGAGAGAGAGAGAGAGAGAGAGAGAGATGCCTTCGCAAGAATATACCCTTAGTCGGCCACGCTATTCCTTAACGTTGCCAAGGGGCCTAACACTTGGTGCAGATTTTTTCGTTCGCTCGCTCGTTCGAGAGAGCGAGAGAGAGAGAGAGAGAGAGAGAGAGAGAGAGAGAGAGAGAGAGAGAGAGAGAGAGAGAGAGAGAGAGAGAGAGAGCGAGAGAGAGAGGAGAGAGAGAGAGAGAGAGAGAGAGAGAGAGAGAGAGAGAGAGAGAGAGAGAGAGCCTTGGGTTCTGGTCCTTAGCCACGGCAAGCACCGCATCAACACTCACAACGAGCTCCGTGATGCATGCATCAGCATGGCCCAGGATGCGGGATTCATAGTCCACAGTGAGTCGGCGGCCCATTGTCCCATCAAGGAGCAGACGGCCGACTTCACCATGACCGACAGGAGCAGTGGGGCGGTGTGGGTGTGTGATGTGACTGTGACTAACCCTATCAGCACGCGGGACCCGGAGGCGCAGAAAGGAAGGGGATGGGCGGCCAGAGAGCAGGCAGACAAAAAGATCCAGCACTATGCAAGTAGACCTGAGACGGTTGGCTTCTTTCCGTTGGCGGTGGAGACCTATGGCTGCCCTTGTGCGGAGGTCCCCGTCTTCCTGAAACTCCTGGCAGACACGGCGGCTCGGCGCCACTTCAACGGCGATTCTAACTCCTATTATGCCGCTAAGTTTCTGCATCAGTTCAGGCAGCGGTGGTCGGTTGCACTTCAGAGAGCACAGTCGGTGGGGTTGCTCATGAAGCTGGGTGAGGCGGCAGCCGCTGAGAACCCCCCGGTGGGGGGTATCGGCCATGAACTACACCTAGGGGATTGTTTTGCAGTTTTGGAGCCACTTGTGGAACTGTAGATGGGATAGGCTGTGACTTGCATGCTTATGGAACCTGTATGTGTGTACCTTTCGGCCATATCAATATACGGACCACTAGAGAGAGAGAGAGAGAGAGAGAGAGAGAGAGAGAGAGAGAGAGAGAGAGAGAGAGAGAGAGAGAGAGGCACTAGGAACTAGTCCTTAGCCTCTCTTAAGCCTCTCTTAAGCCTCTTTTAGCCTCTCTTCCCTAGTATATAAGGCCTAGGAGCTCTTGTTTCCAGTCATTGTGTTCTGTTGAGTTCCTTTCACTCTCAGAATCCAGCGGCTATGGAGAGAGAGCGAGAGAGAGAGAGAGAGAGAGAGAGAGAGAGAGAGAGAGAGAGAGAGAGAGAGAGAGAGAGAGAGAGAAGGAGAGAGAGAGAGAGGCACTAGGAACTAGTCCTTAGCCTCTCTTAAGCCTCTCTTAAGCCTCTCTTAGCCTCTCTTCCCTAGTATATAAGGCCTAGGAGCTCTTGTTTCCAGTCATTGTGTCCTGTTGAGTTCCTTTCACTCTCAGAATCCAGCGGCTCGCGCCGGCCGCCTTCGGCGGCCGCCGCTCGCTAGCGCGGCCTCCGGCCGCGCGTGAGGGGTGACAAGGAAACGAGGAGAGACAACACTAGAGCAGGAAGGCATACAACATGGTGCAGTAGCAACAACAACAGCAACAACACCCCCAGGGTGAACTTCAACGCCATGGGGAAGCCCAAGGGCCAGGCCAAAACCAAGGTGGCTGGCAAGGGAAAGACAGCGGCTACTCGGAAAGGATCCAGCATAATCGCCCGTCCATCCAGCGCAGGACGGATGCTGCTGCTGACACGAGGCCGAGTGGTGCCACCCGGGTAGTCTCGGCAAGCTCCAGCAAAGCCAGGGGGCCGGGCCCGAGGGCTGCGCCAGGGGAGCCAGGCCAGTACCCAATCAGGGGGAGGAACTGCTGCAACTCCGCCGCTGCAGCCTCCGCCGCCGCCAGCTCCGTCGGCAGCAGACCCTGGATCTCAAGCCCTTGCCGCTCCAGGCACAGGTGGAGCTGGTCGAGGAGGTAAGACAGCAGGGACAAGCACGTCCCCACGTTCATTGCGCGCTCTGCGACGCCATCAGGGGAGCCCTCGCCCGTCGGACTCCATGGCGCGTCAGGAACCACAGCAGGAGCTGGCGGCGACGCTGGAGGAGCCCACTGCCCCCACGGTATCGGCACCTCGCGCCCACCAACGAAGAGGCGAGGGAAGGCGCCCGCGGACGGACCATCCTGGGGAAGGGGGGGGTTACGGGGAGGAACAAACGGAGGGGCGGGTGACACGGGGGGTGAACGTCGCTGGGGCTGCAACGGTGGCGAAAACCAATGGCGAGGAGGCGGGTGAGGGGACGGGGGCTGCGGGGGCTGCGGCTGATGCGGCAGTTGCGGCGGTGCCTGGCGCTGCTGCTGCTGACGGGACAGCCGCTGCCTCTGACGGCGGCTCAGTTTCACCCTCTGCCACCCCCCAGGCTGCATCGCGGCTGGCTGAGGAGCAGGGGCCGGTTGCGGAACCAGGACAGCAGGGGGAGGAGGAGGCGGGGCTGGCGGCGTCCCCGGCGGTGATCGCTGCGGTTGTGACGGCCGCGGTGGGAACGCAGGATGGTGGAACGAGCGCGGAGGGAGTGGGGGCTGCCGCTGAGTTCGCCGGAATGTCTGTTGCTGACGAGGGCGCAGGAACGCAGGAGCGCGACCAGGTGGCGGACGGAAGACAGGGCCGCGGGAAGAGCGCCGCTGCTCCCGCCGCCTGCGGGAAGAAGGGGAAGCGGCCACGCGCCCAGCCAGCAGCGAGGCGGCCTGGAGCAGGGCTGAGGCCTGGTCCCCCGGGACCCCTCCTGGGCTGGCTGCGGCAAGGGCAGTCGCCACAAGAGCCAGGGCTTCCGTCGTCATCGAGGGGCGCGACGGCGGTACAGCAGGAGCCACAGGTGCCAGCGGCAACGCCGTTCGTGACGCAGGTGGCACCAACGCAGGAGCCGGAAGGTTCCGGCAGCGGTGCCGGTGGGGCGCCCCCAGCGGCAGTTCCAACGGCGGCGGCGGCCGGTGCGAGTGTGGCAGTGGCGGCGACGACCGGCGTGAGACGCTCGGCTAGACTCGGATCCGTAACCTGGGGTCCGCCACGGGGCGGTCGAACGCCGTGGATGCCGGCCGGCCGCGGGGGCAACGCAACGGCGGGAACGACGCGTGCGGCTGGACGGGGGAACCGCGGAAATCTGCGCGGGGGCCTAAGGGGAGGCAGGGGAGGGCGCAACGCAGCACCCAGAACTGAGATCCCTGCTAGAACGGGCCCTTGGCGGGAACGTCACGCCAGGCCTGAGAGAGAGCAGCCTCAGACGAATGAGGAACCGGAAGCATCTGACAACAATGATGCCGATCCAGAGTTTATGGCTGGGGAGGACGAGGTTTCGGAGGAGATTTCACTGGATGACGAGGAAGCTCCGCCCAGACGGGACAACCCAGCACCACAAACACGAGAAGCGGCGGGGGAAATCCCACCAGCCACTGCGGAGCCAGCGGAAGCGGCCACGGGGGACACTGATGTTCCATCGCCAGCCGACCTGGCTAGTGATGACGCCATCTGGCACATGGCGAGAGGGTGGAATGTGGACATTCTTCAGCGAAGTGATCAGCCATTCCTTGTCCGCCGTCTGCCAACACAGCTTCTGGACCGATATTGTCTGTGCATGCTGGCAGCCCTCCACCGCCTGGACAAAAACCCAAGCTGCCCAGGGGGATGGATGGTGCTGCTGTTCTTGCCGAGGCTCACCCTGAGGCCAGCGCCCGAACCTGCTGTGGGGAGTCGCTGGGCAGCAATTGAGGCACGGCTGCACAAATTCCAAAGGGGCGAGTGGACTGACCTTTTCGAAGAGGCAGGGGACATACCCGCTATTGGTGCTCCGGTACGACACCAGGCTGACGAGGAAGGGGTTTGTGCTAGGGCGGAGGGGTTAATGAAAAAAGGTAACATTTCGAAAGCAATGTCAGCTTTGCGAACGAGTCCCCTTGCCGAAGCAACTACAGCTACACTCGAGGCGCTGCTAGCGAAACATCCTGCGGCGGAAAACCAGATCCCCGCCTGGGTTACCGGAATCACCACCTCTGACCTAGCAGTCCCGCTGGACACGCTGCGCGAAATATTGGCGAAGTGCCCGAACGGTGTTGGCGCGGGCCCTTCAGGCACATGTTTCGAGCACCTGAGGGACCCTGCCTTGGCCAACGAAGAGCTGCTACTGCTTTTCGCCAAGGTGGTCAATCAGCTGCTTAGCACTTTCCAACCCGGCCACGTGAGAGAGCTGCTACTACCTTCCCGCCTCATCGCACTAGAGAAGCCGAACGGCGGAGTACGACCTATAGCGATTGGTGAGGCGATGCTCCGCGTAGTGGCGAAAGTGGCGTTACAAACTCTAGGACCCAAGATAAGGACCTTCTTCCTCCCAGTGCAGTTCGGTGTAGCAGTACCAGGAGGAGCGGAGTGCATCATTCACTCCGTCCGATCCCTACTACGTGAGGACGAGACACGCATCGCGCTCCAGTTGGATGTTGAGAACGCCTTTAACAGCGTTGAGCATTCGGCTTTCCTCAGAGCCCTCCAGTGGTCCAACCTTAGTTCTCTGCTTCCCCTCGTCCGCAACCTCTACGATGGCCCCTCACGCCTTCTCACCGATGCTCGTCTGGGAATCGACCACATCCGGAGCTCGCGAGGCGTCAGGCAAGGCGATCCCTTAGGCCCTCTATTGTTCGCGGCGGCCATTCAGCCGGCTCTCTTAAGCGTCTCGGCGATGAAGCCAGAAGTCGCCGTGGTTGCATATGCGGACGACATAACCATAGTCGGACCGAGAGAAGCGGCGAGCAGGGCATTCGCGAAGATTGCAGGTGACCTCGCCGACTGCGGACTCCGCTGCAACATCACCAAGTCCTCGGCGTGGTGCGCCTTGCAGGGAATGGAAGCGGACGAGCTTCCTTTGGGCCTGACCGCTGATCCAGGAGGCATTCGGGTCCTGGGTAGCCCGATCGGCAGCAGGGAGTTCTGCACAGGCCAAGTGAGAGCCTCGCTTGAGGATGCTGCGTCACCGCTCCACCTCATCAGCCGGCTCCACCCTCAGGCGGCCCTTATGATTCTCTCTCGCAGCATCTCCCGCCGCATCTCCTACCTGCTGCGGACGACACCTGCGACGGCGCTGGGCTTGGAGGAGTGGAGGGATTGGAGTGAGGCATTGGTGGGCTCGGCCCTTGCGGCGGCGAAGCTGAACGTCCCAACGTCAGAGCTGGAGCAGAGCCTTCTGTGGCGCCAGGCGACCCTCCCTGTTCGGCTCGGCGGCTTGGGAATCATTGACCCCATATCGGAGGCACCCGCGGCTCACATCGCCTCGGTGGCTGCTGCACACTCCCTCCTGCAGCGACTGGACCTGCCCTCAGACTGCCTGCTACACAGGGCCATCACGCTGCTGGCCCATGACTGGACCCCCCCCCCCCCCCCAGATTTCAACCCACTGACAGCCTTGGAGGAGGGCCTCCCAGCCCAAGCACAGGCACTTCTCAGCCGATACAGAGCGAACAGTGCGGGCACGGGCAGTCTGCAGCTGGGCCTATCGAAGCAGATCAATCTGCAGCGGGCGGCGGATCTACTAGGCGACACTGTAGTGGACAGACCAGGCAGGCACAGGGGACACGGGATCCGGCTGATAAGTCTGAAAGGGGTGGGGGCAGGCGATTGGCTTCATGCAGTACCATCGAGAGCTGACCTTACCATCTCCCCTGGTCAGTTCTCCTTGGCCCTAGGCCTCCGCCTAGGCATGGAACTGCCAGTAGCTGAGGTGTGCCCATGCAAGCGACAGGGATCAGGAATTCTGGATAAGAGCCTGCCGAACCATCTGCTTCGCTGCCAGGATGGGGGGGATGCGGTGCGGACGCACAATGCCCTAGTGTATGCTGCGCTACGCATGGCGAATGAGGCAGGCTACAAGACCTACCATGAGACCTCGGCTTTCTCGCCTCCTGTCCTCCGGAAGCGGGCGGACCTAGTAATCCAAGTCCAGGAGTCGGGAGAGACCTAGGTGACGGATGTCACTGTCACGGATCCGGTACTACAGGAGAGGGACGTGAGAGCACGCAGGCCGCCAGGCTGGGCGGCAGAGGAGGCCTCACAGAAGAAGCATCGGCTGTACGAGGGGCGCCCGAGCTATGCTGGCTTCTTCGGCCTCGCGGTTGAGACTTATGGGGCGATGGCGGCTGACACCGTACAATTCCTTCGGTTGTTGGCAACCCATGCAGCCAAGAAGAAGTTTCGGCAGGGCAGACTCACCACCATGGCTGCTCTGCTCACGGCACATTACCGCCAGCGATGGTCGGTGATGCTGCAGCGCAGCCAAGCAATCTCTCTCCTGTCCAAGTCCAACCGAGCAGCAGAGGCGGCTTTCCCACAGGCAGCTGCAGACCCATGGGCCCCACGCTTGGCAGACCTCTGGCAGATGACGTCTGATGAGTATGAGGAGCGGGACGCTCCTGCTAGGGCACCTTAGACGGCCGCAGGGAGAGAAAGGAGAGAGAAGGGGCGACCAGGAGTAGGAGGGAGGGAGTGAGAACACAGAGGGGCAGCCACAGGGCAGGGACTAAGGCGGGAGGAGAGCTAGAGGTCGGGAGGAGGGGTAGGTCTCTAGGGACTGGAGTTGCGGCTGCTGCCACAGGGCAGCCACAGGGCAGCCACAGGGCAGGTCTTGTTTTTCTGGCTTGCCTGCTTGCTTGTTTGCTAGTTGCTAGTCCTAGTACCTAGGTGCCTCCATGCTCAGACAGACTAGCTACTACCACTCCCTGCCATGCCTGTACCTCTTGAACACTATCAATACAAGACTGCTTGAGAGAGAGAGAGAGAGAGAGAGAGAGAGAGAGAGAGAGAGAGAGAGAGAGAGAGAGAGAGAGAGAGAGAGAGAGAGCTATCCTCTGCCCTCTCCCTTAGCCCTCTGTCCTCTCCTCCTGTGAGCTACTTAAGAGGCCTCTCTTGGCCTCTTCATCTCATTATTCTGTGGTGGTGCAGATTTTTTCGCTCGAGGGGACGGCAAGCGCACCAGGCGCAACAAGAACCACTATAGCAACGGCATACACGCGTGGCAAGAACAGACAACAACTACAAAGGACAGCAATGAGTCAAAGAGAGAAGACCAGCGGAGAGGAGGCCCTGGCGGACGCTACAACTGGTCCGCGTCAAGAACCGCGAGCAGCCCCGTCAGCAAGCGATGCAGCTCCCGCACCACCGCCGTGCTTGCGCCGATCACATCGGCTGCAGTCCCAGCGCGCGAAAAGCGCCTCAAGCCTCGTACAGCCGTCCCCAGCTGCCCAACACCGGCAACTCCTCCCCTCGCGGGCGCAGTAAACACGGGCGCCAGGAGCTCCGCGAGCCAATCCGCGGCGTCAAGACATTCGTCCCGGGAACCGTCATCCAGTGAGTTCCCACGGGAGAGACCCGCGTGACCATACATCTGGATTAGATGAACAACCCGCAACCCCTCAGAGAGGCGCCACAGCTGCCCAAGCGTCGCCTCCGGGACCTCGGCCACAGGAACGGGACCCGCCAACCTCTGGAACGGCTGAACAGCTCCAGCAACAGGTGGAGTCGGGGGACGAGGAGCCAGATGAGGAGGAGCAGCCGCCGATGGCGCAGCTGCAGGAGGGGCAGCAGGAAGAGGAGCCGCAAGCGCCGGCGCACCCCGTTGCGAGCTGTTCTGTCCCGCCTGCCCGGCCCTCTCCTCGCGCATTGCCGCAGAAACAACCCGCTGCAAATCAGCCATGGTCACCGGTTGATCATACGCCCACTCACCACCACGACCGCGGCCTCCCCTCCAGCCACCGCGACCACCACAATGGGTAGGCCAGTTGGCCTGCGAACGCTGACGCCGAGGAGAATCGCGCCGGCGACGAGATGACTCCCGCTCCTCGCGGGGCGCAGGAGAATGAGGACGGCCGGCGCGGCGGTCCGGGGACGGGGGACGACGCTGCTGCACTATCTAAGCAGCTGCCTGAACCACTGGCGCCGAGTGAACGGTCTCCCCAGATCCCGCAATCGGAGCCGGGCCGCCAGTGGTGGCGGACACCGCCAGCGGTGAGGAACCATCGGCTTGGATCGGCGCCGCGGGGACAAGGGCAGGAGACGGCGCAGCATGGAGGACGGGGTCAACTGACGCGGCAACTGGCGCTGGGAGGTCAGGAGCAGCTTCAGGGGCCGGAGGGACAGGCACGGAGCACGCAGGCGCCGGAACAAGCACCGGACGCAACGCCTCAGCCGGCGAGTCCACAGCAAGCACCGCCGGCCGAACAGCAGGAACAGCAGGAGCGGACGGCGGCGGCGCAGGAGCAGACGACATCTCCGCTGCGGTCACCACGGAGGCAGATGAGGCCGACGACGCTCGTGCAGCAAACGCCCAATCAAAGGGCTGGGGCGAGTACGGGAAATCGTGGCCGAGTGACACAGGCATCACGAGGCAGAGGAAACGCGGGGCAGCAGAGCGCCGGAAGACGAGGAGGCAGAGCACGCAGGGGGAACGCGCGACGATCGGGCGCAAGCGCCTACGCCAGAGCTGCCGAGAGGATACTACAGGGGAGCGGAGGAGGCGGCGAGGAGGCTGCTAGCGACGAGGAGGTAGTGCAAACCGAGAATGGTGAAAGTGACGCGGGTGACCCCGAATTTAACCCTGAAAGAGAGGGGATGTTGGACGGAGAGTCTGAGGAGGAGGAAGAGCTCCTCCACCGTGGTGCGGAATTTCCCAACCAGAACAGTCGAGGCGCCCCTGCAGGTGGACGAAACACATTTCAAAATCGAAGTGCGGGGGGAAATCCAACATTGGGGGGAACCCGAGCCGCGGCGAGAGACGAAGTCAACTCTGTAGCGGCCAATAGAAATCCAGCAGCACCAAATCCCGCCCCGCTCATGCTCAAACCTGACGACCTGGCGAAACGAACCGACCTGTTCGCTCAGGTCGCGGGTGGCGAGCCACCCACCAAAGGACCTTCGCGAGTCCTTCGCAGTTTGCTTGCTGACCCCCTTGCTTCACCTGGCGGCCAACCCCGAGTCAACAGCGGGGTGGAGGTTACTGACCTTCCTCCCGCGAATTCTACTGCGCACTTCGTCAGCACGGAAACCAGACTGGTGCGCGATGATGAATCGCCTCCTCAGGTTTCGCCAAGGGCTCTGGGCCAGCCTGTACGATGAAGCGGTCGAGGCGATTTCCCTCCCACCCCAACCTCGCCACGCACCTAACACCACGGGGATCCTCGCCAGAGCTGAGGGACTGGCGAAACGTGGTAACTTGTCAAAATCGCTGCAGTCCCTCCAGGCTACCCCAGTTTCGCCGGCCTCGACTGAAGTGCTAGATGCACTCACGGCGAGACACCCTACAGCCCAGCAGGCACTTCCGGACTGGGTGCAAAGCTTCACCACCGAAAACCCCCCCGCTATCGAAGCAAAGGACTTCAGACGAATAATCGCCAAGCTGCCAAACGGAGTAGGAGCAGGGCCCTCAGGAACCACCTTCGAGCAAATACGGGACGCGGCCCTAGGAAACCGAGGTTTTTACCCACCTGTTAGCCCTCACAAATACGGCTCTAGCGGGGAAACTGAGAGGATGCGCGACTGAGCTCCTCACCGCATCCCGCCTCTTAGCTTTCACAAAACCGCAAGGCGGGACGAGGCCGATAGCGGTAGGCGAGTGCATGCTCCGAATTATCGCGAAAGCTGCCCTCTTCTTGACAGCGCCGGCCGCTCGAGGGCATTTCGCTCCCCTCCAGTTTGGGGTGGCGATAGCAGGGGGAATCGAAGCAGCTATACACACGGCACGCACGTACTTAGAACTCCGACCGGAAACGGCGGCGCTGCAGATAGACCTCGCCAACGCTTTTAACGCCGTAGAAAGAAGGGCGGTGTTCGAAGGCCTGAGAAACGAAGCGCTAGAACCCCTCATTCGGCTGGTCCGCCTATCTTACGGGGCCCCGTCATCTCTCTTCCTCGACCACGACTATGGCTCGGCCCACCTACACAGCGCCAGAGGAGTCCGCCAAGGGGACCCGCTTGGCCCACTGTTATTCGCGGCTAGCATACAGCCGTGCCTCGCGGCCACCGCAGCGGCACACCCACAGGTGGTCCTGCTCGCCTACGCCGACGACATCACCCTGCTCGGCGATGCCTCGGCCTGCACCGCTGCCTTCAACCACCTCACCTCAGCACTCGCCACCCTCGGCCTGGTACACAACCCGGCCAAGTGCGCAGCCTGGTCCGCCTCACAGATCGACCCCACCTCCGTGCCGCCTGGCATCCCCATCTCAGGAGAGGGGTTACAGATTTTGGGAAGCCCCGTCGGCACTCCCCAAGGGTGCGCCAGCACGGTTAGGGAGCGGCTTGCGGCAGCGGCAGAACCACTCCCCCTCCTAGCCCAGATGGACCCCCAGCTTAGCCTCCTCCTCCTCACTCGCTGCGTCAGCCGCTGCGCCTCATTCTTAGCCAGAACAACCCCACTAAAAGTGTTACCCGAGGCGGAGTGGTCAGCATGGGGGGAGCGGCTGCTACTGACCTTCCTGAACGCGGCCCACATCGTAACACCAAGGAGTGACACGGAGAGAAGGCGGATTTGGCGACAAGCGGCGCTACCAGTAACTCTAGGAGGACTAGGCATCACGGACCCCGCCGTTGAAGGGAGCTACGCCTACCTCGCGTCGGTGATCGCCACCTCCCACCTCCTGCACTCCCTGGCCGACACACTACACCCCGCTATAGCCAACCTACTCCCCCTACTGGACCCCACCCCCGGCTCCGCCCATGCCCTTCCAGCCCGCCTCGCAACAGCAGAAGCAGCCCTTCCGCCAGAAGCACTAGAAGCCCTACAGGCGGGGAAAACAGACCCCAAAGGAACCAAGCTGCAGCAGTCCCTCGCGTTGGCAGTCCACACCCGCCGCTTCCTCAGGGTAATGAACGAGGCGAGACGGATGCGCCCCAATCCCCTCTCTGGCCACGCCCAGAGGATGCAGTCGGTGCTGGGCCCGGGTGCAGGGGACTGGCTGCTGGCGTTGCCCCTCATCCCCTCGCTCAGGATGGGACCCTCTCAGCTCTCTACCGCAGCTGCCTTCCGCCTAGGCCTCCCCCTGCCCGTGCCTAGGCGCTGCGACTGCCGATACCGCACCACGTTCCCGGACGACCGCCTCCCTAACCACCTCATGCGCTGCGAGAAAGGGAAGGGGAGGATAGCAACTCACCACGCACTCCGGGACGAGATAGCCAAGATAGGGGCGGAGGCGGGCTTCACGGTGCACAAGGAGACCTACATCTACTCTCTCGTTGAGAACCTTAAGGCGGATGTCACCATCCGTCATCCCCTGACAGGAGAAGTATGGATGTGTGACGTGACCGTGACTGACCCCGTGTCCCACCGGGACGAGAACTGCAACCGAGCTCCTGGGTGGGCGGCTAGGGCGGCAGCAGATAGGAAGGAGGAGAAGTACGCACACAGGAACGCGTGGGTGGGCTTCCACGCCCTTGCAGTCGAGACCTACGGCTACCCCTCTCCAGGAGTGATGGCCTACCTACGGCCACGGCTCGCCGGCAATCACCATTGCGAGGGAGAGGACGAGGAGCGGGACGGCGAGAAGGAAACGGGGTTGAAGGGGGTCCGGAAAACGCGTTCCAGTCTGCAGGGCGTCGGGCTTTAACACTACCTGATACTGAAAGTAATGAGCGGAATGATCCGTCTTATAGGGAGGAGGCACGTGAAGAGAGTAGCGGCAGTGATGAAGAAGTCGAGGAGGAAGAGAGGGAGCAGTCGAGAGGGAGAAGTGGGAGGAACCAGAGGGGTGCAGTTGGACAACCAGGTCCAAGTGTGGCCCAAAGGGAGGACACGGGTGAACCGCACGATGGCAATCGTACGGTTGGAATTCCAACCCGGCCGGCCCAGGGAACATCGGGTCGCGCCAGCACAAACCGGGCCGCACATCTCCAAACCAACGCGCCTCCACAACCACCCCGATACTTTTCGCCAGGCGAACTGGCGATGCAGCAGAATCGTTTCGCTGCAGTCGCGACTTGGGATCTCGCGCCTCTCTGCGATAGTCGCCAACCCCCGCTGACACGCCGCATACCGCCAAATCTTTGTGAGCTGTTTGCGCTGACTTTGCTGACGCCACTCCTACACCTGTCGCGGAACCCAAATTCCATTGCAGGATGGCGCCTGCTACTGTTTCTCCCACGCCTAATCCTGCGCCAACCCTCACCAAAGCGTCCTGACTGGGCCAAAATCAAGGCTCGGATTCGATCATTCCAACGTGGCGAATGGGACCAGCTCTACACCGAAGCCACGGAAGCTGTCAACACGCCACCGCCGCCACGTCACAGACCTGACGAAACCGGGGTCATCAGCAGAGCCGAAGGCCTGGCAAAGCGGGGGAGTCTGCGTCGGGCCGTTCTGGCCCTCGAGTCAACGCCAGTTTGCACCCCCAGCCCCGACATTCTGGCCGAGCTGCGCCGAAAACACCCGCCCGCTGACACCGAGCCTCTGACTTGGCCACCCCACGACCAACCGCAAAGCCTGGCCATTTCCCACGCTGACTTCGTCAAATTGCTGAGCCGCTGCGAGAATGGGGTGGGGGCCGGCCCGTCTGGCACCACTTTCGAACACTTGCGCGATACCGCAGTAACAAATGCGTCCGTCTGCACACACCTGCACGCATTGGTCAACACAATTTTGGGAGGGAAGCTTCCCGAGCCCGTAGCAGAGCTACTCACGTCGTCACGCCTGGTAGCGCTGGCCAAACCAGAGGGGGGCGCCAGACCCATAGCGATAGGCGAGTGCCTGACTCGCCTGGCGGCAAAGGCGGCTCTGACGGTCATGGGAGCAGCTGCACGGGCATTTTTCCTCCCGTTACAGTACGGCGTGGCAGTACCGGGAGGAGCGGAAGCAATCATACACACAGCACGTGCTTTCACTGATGCAAGGCCAGATTCACTGATCTTGCAAACGGATTTGAAAAACGCGTTCAACAGTATCTCACGGCAGGCGATTATAAATGCCTTACAGGACCCGTCCCTGTCGCCTCTGCTGCCGCTAGTTAAGCTAACATACGGACGGCCGTCGCAACTGCACCTAGACGCTGGCTTCGCTGCAGGACCACTTAGCAGCGAGCGCGGGGTACGCCAAGGTGACCCCTTGGGGCCTCTACTTTTTGCCGCTGGCATCCACCCGGCGTTGCGAGCGACAGCAGTGGCCCACCCAGAAGTTCTGTGCCTCGCTTACGCGGATGATGTCAGCTTCATCGGCAACAAAACTAAAACAGTTGCGGCTTTCACACACTTCACCGGCCAGCTAGCAGGACTAGGCTTAGAGCACAACCCCGCGAAATGTGTGGCATGGAGCGGAACTGAGATAACAGACGCGAGGGAGCTGCCGCCAGGGGTGCCATTCACACGGGAGGGAGTTAAACTGCTAGGAAGCTTTTTAGGCACCACAGGCGGCGCTACCTCTTTCCTAACGGAACAGCTACGGTCGATGGCGAAGCCGCTCCCGCTACTCGAACGCACGGATCCGCAAATAGCATCACTGCTACTCACACGATGTATCTCGCGACGGGTAGCTTACCTGACGAGGACAACCCCGCTCAACCTCCTGCCCGGCGAGGCATGGTCACAATGGGGCCGAGACCTGCTCGCCACCCTGCTAGCCGCATGCGGCATACGTTATCCTTCCAGTGAGGCAGAGCAGACGCGGGTTTGGGAGCAGTCTTCCCTGCCGCCGTCACTGGGCGGGATTGGCATTACAGATCCCACCGTAGAGGGCGTGTTCGGTTTCCTTGCTAGTTTCACGCAGGCGTCACTACTGCTGAGCTCCCTGCCGCTGGAACCGGACGACGTGCTGTCCACAGCCAAAAACCACATGTTGCTGCCTAGAAATACAGACACTGCCCTTCACTCTTGGCTGACGGAATGTGCAGCGGCGCTGCCGCTCGACGCGAGGGAAATACTGGAGAAGGAGAGGATAGAACCAGCGGGGATAAGGCTGCAGCACGCCCTCTCGGTTCAGGTTCAGGGGAGCAGATACGCAAAACAGGTCCGGGAGTCTCGCCACATGAGACCAAACCCGCTTTGTGGTCACACGCAGCGCCTTTTCTCCCTCACCGGCTACGGTTCTAGCGATTGGTTGCTGGCGATACCGATTGAAAACACGAGGCGGATAGGAAGGGAGCACTTTGCAAACGCGGTTCGTTTCCGGCTGGGCCTGCCTTTCGCAACACCGGCAAAATGCGATTGCTCGAAGCACGTCGAGATCACGGACCCGAGACTGCCCAACCACCTTTTTCGCTGCGGTACGGGGAAACACAGGATCAACACGCACAATGAGTTGAGGGACGCATGCGCCAGCATGGCACGAGGTGCAGGCTTCATCGTGCACACAGAGTCAGCGGCCTATTGCCCAGTGGACGAGCAGACGGCGGATCTTACGATGATGGATCGGAGCTCAGGCGCGGTCTACATTTGCGATGTAACCATAACGGACCCGATCAGTACCCGTGATAAGACGGCGGCGAAGGGCAGGGGCAGCGAGGGAGCAGGCGGATAAGAAAATCCAACACTACGCTAGCCGGCCTGACACGGTGGGATTCTTTTTCCTGGCCGTGGAGACGTACGGGTGCCCATGTGCGGAGGTACCGATCTTCCTGAAATTGCTGGCGGATTCAGCTGCTAGGCGACACTTCAACGCCGAACCTAACTCCTATCACGCAGCTAGATTCCTCCACCTCTTTCGGCAGAGATGGTCAGTGGCGCTGCAGCGGGCCCAGTCGGTGGGTTACCTTATGAAGTCCTGCCAAGCAGCCCTGGCCGAGCACCCACCGGTTGGGGGAACGCAACACGAACTCCACCTGGGTGATAGCTTTACAGTGATTGAGCCCCTAGTGGAAGTTTAAGGGGGCAGGCCGCATGTTCCTTGTTAGTTTGTTTGGTTGTTCTTAGGTTAGTCTATCCTTGTTGTGTATTTGATAGACCTTGCATTTGTGTACCTCATATGCTATATCAATGCACGGACCATTATAGAGAGAGAGAGAGAGAGAGAGGAGAGGAGAGAAGTACGAAGGGGGAAGTGAGAGAGAGGGATGAGGAGAGGAGGTGGGGGGCGTGCATGAGCGTAACAGCCCACTGCCGGCGATCCCTCTTACTAACCCCCTTTTACGAAGGGGGAGGTGAGTAAGGGATGAGGAGGGGAGGTGGGGGGGCGTGCATGAGCGTGACAGCTCACTGCTGGCGATCCCCTCTTACTAACCCCCAAATCCGCCAACCCCAATCAACCACCCCCCTTTAACCTCACCCCCCTTATCAGCCGCCCTCTGGAACCTCACCCCCTCCCCCGCTTCCTTCCTTCAGGCCCTTCCCACCCACGGTAGTCCCTGCACTGATCGTCACATGGCGGCCTGCCCCCTCTCCCCCACCCCCTGTCCCCGCCTCCTCCCCTTCACAGCAGCAGCCGCAGGAGGGGAGAGGCAGGGCAGAGGGTGGGGCTGCAGGAGCTCACGACGGCCAACCCTTCCACACCACCTCCCCCCCCACATCTGTAGTCGCAGAAGGGAAGGCGACGGGGGAGGGGGGAGGGATGGAGGGACGGGCGGTAGGGCGGCTGTTGCTGGTGGGTCCTTTGGCGAGAGCGAGGTTCGTGTGGGCCGCGGGTGGAAAACGGGCTACGGGCGGGGTACTGATGGTGAAAACGACGGGGTGACCAGGTGCAGGTGATGAGATGACGTGAAGTGGGTCGCTGGCGGGTCCATTGGCGGGCTCGCTGGTGTGCCAGTCGGCGGGTTTGTCGGCGGTCGTGTCGACTCGCGCGCTGGCGGGTCCGTCGGTGGGCTTCCTGATGCGCGCGCTGTCGGGTCCATCGGCGGGTCCGCTGACGTGCGCGCTGGAGGGTCCGCCGGCGGACTTGCTGACAAGCGCGCTGGCGGGTCCGCCAGCGGAGTCGTTGGCGGGTTTGCTGACGCGCGCGCTGGCGGGTCCGTCGGCGAGTTCGCTGGCGAGCTCGCTGGCGGACAGAAACCGACGACCTGACCTACGGGCAGAGCTACGCGACAGGCGCATCTTCACGAGGCGCGCCACGGTGGAAGCTAACGGTGGGCCCATTAAAAATTAGGTCCTAGGAGTGTCCACTCAGATAACATGTCAAGATCTAGAACCTGGGCTTAGGAAATTTAGTAACCATGGCGATCGCTAGCGTGAGGAACGAGAGGCACGTGAGCGAGAGAGTTGGCCAAAAAGAGGTTTTGCACTATAGAATTGCTAGTACAAATAGATAAGAAACATGCAAGAAAGGGTGCACCACCAACAGGGTTTGTATAACTACACTAAAGCTAAGCTACAGGCAGTTATAAAGATATATGAAATATATAAGGCGACAGCAGGAGGCTGAGCGGCCCACGGAGCTCCTTTCGCAGGCGAACTACGTCGCTCTGACGAAGCAGGATCGTCAGCAGGGGCAGCGCGGCAAGTCTGGCGGAGGTGATAGCGGAGGTGGGAGGTCGCCGACCAGACGAAGTCAACTCGGGACAGTGGTCGTGGCAGCGGTGGTCGACGGCGCAAGTGCTGGGTCTGCGGAAGCGCCGACCACCTCTCCTATGACTGCCCCGAACGAGAGGAGTCTGACGACGATGATCACAGGGGAGGCCGCGGGAGGCCGGCCAACAGTCGTCGAAGTCGGGACGAAAAGTCGCGCAAGGAGAAGCAGGCGTCGAAGAAGGCGTCGTCGACGAAGGACGTCGACTCCTCCAGCGGCAAGGGTTGAGGCGACGAGGAGGCGTCGTGCTCGATGGTCGGCGTGGTGGATCAGACGCTCTCGCTGGCGCCAGAGGCAGACGAGGACTTCAAGGCGGTCGCGCCGCCGTGCAGGCGAACCCGACGGTGGTTCTGCTCGACAGCGGCTGCTCGCACCACCTGATAAGGACGAAGGAGGCCTTCGTCGACATGGCACCGAGTGGCGACGTGAAACATGTGCGTGGCTTCAACGGGGCTCTGCAGACTGTCGAAGGCCGCGGCACCGTCGCTCTGCAAGGGGAGGCCGGGAAGCAGGTTCTCGTCCCTGACGTGCTCTACGTCCCGGGCGTGCAGGCGAACATGCTGTCAGCCGGCCAGCTGAAGGACAGCGGTGTGAAGCTGGAGGACGACGGCGACGAGATGCTGCTCGTCTCAGCGGCCGGGGACGTGCTTGGTCGGGCGAAGTACACCGGCGGGGTCCTCTGCACCAACCTTCGACCTTGCACAACGAAGTCGACTTCGACGTCGACCGAGGTGGTGGCTCTGCGGACGATCGCATCGGCGACGAAGTCGACGCCGGACAGGTGGCACGCGAGGCTCGCGCACGTTGGCGTCGACACCATCAAGAGCTCGGCGAAGCACGAAGTCACCACCGGCCTGGACATCAAACCGTCGACCGGGACCGACTTGCCGTGCGTCTCCTGCGTAGGCGGGAAACTTACGCGGCATACCTTCCCCGAAAAGGGCACTGACGCGGAGGAGGCCCTGGCCGTGGTGCACATTGACATGAAGACGCGCTACGTGTGGGTGAGGCCGGTCGCCAAGAAAAGCGACGTCCTGCAAGTGTTCGAGAAGTGGCTGCTGGTTGTGGAGAGGCAAACCAAGAAGTCGTTGATGCTGCTCCGCTCTGACCGCGGATGCGAGTTCTTGGGAAAGGAATCGTCCACGACCTCACCTGCCCGTACACTCCGCAGCAGAACGGCATGGCGGAGGAGATGCGCACGGTCGTCGAGGCCGTGCGGACGATGTTGCTGCACATGTGCATGCAACACTACTGGTGGCACCTCGCCCTGCGGCAGGCCGTCTGGGTGCGCAACTGCTTGGAGCGATCGACGCTGCCGCCGGGGACAACGCCGCACCAGCTGCTGACTGGCAAGAAGCCCAACCTCACGCTAGTGCGCGTGTGGGGCTGCATGGTGCAGTTCATGATCCCCGAGCAGCAGCGTGGAGGGAAGCTGGCGCCGAAGGCCCGGTGGGGGCTCCATCTTGGTGTGTCGCCGGAAAGCAAGGGATGGGAAGTGCTCGACCTGACCGACAACAAGATGGTCACGACGGTCGAGGCCATCTTCTACGAGACGCTGTCGCTGGAGGTGTGGAAGGTGACGCATTGGCCGGCGTCGGGACGGACGCGGACCCACTCGCCGACGGACTCCTCGACGGCGGCGTTCCCACTGCTCGCCGAAGTTGACGAGCCTGTTGACGAGGGCGTCGATGACGTCCATCCTACCCCTCCTCCTCTTGCTCCTACTGTGTCACCCCTTATCACCTTGCATGAGCCGACAACGTCGTCGGCCACCGGCGATGAGGGGAGCCTTGGGACGTCGCATGTGGCGACGATCAGTGTCATCGCCGGCGTCCGACGTGACGTCAAGCTCGTCAACGAGGGTGCAAAGCCGTCGCCGACAGGGGAGCAGCGGGCGGAGGAGATGCCGTTTACAGGGGAGCTGTCGATGAAGGGGGCGTCCGCAGAGGAGCCGCCGACAGGAAAGCAGCTCGACGATTCGTCGAGCGATGTTGTGGAGGTTGTTGGTGAACCCGACAACGATGAAGGAGAGTTGTCCGCAGGGGAGCAGTCCAGCGACAGCGACATGGTGGAAGTCGAAGCCGACGAGCCAAAACTGAGACGTTCCACTCGCTCCAACTTTGGCAAGCCTAGCGAGAAGCTGAGCTACCACGTTTGCCTACCGCCGACCTCCTATAGCACGTTGCTCGACGATGCGCAGGCCGACGTCGAACTGCCCAAGCTCGACCCCGACATGCACGCCGACCCTGAACACCGATGGGACATTGCGACGATGACGGTGAAAGAGGCGTTGGCGAGCTAGAAGGGCAAGGCGGTGAAAGCCGCCACGGACGAGGAGATCCGGAGCCTCATCGCCAACGGCACGTGGGAGCTCGTCGAGCGCCCGCACAGTGTCAATGTGATGAAGAATCGGTGGGTGCTCATGACGAAGTACCATGTCGATGACACGGTCGCCCGCGAGAAGGCGCGCTTGGTCGTGAAGGGCTTCACGCAGGTGTACGGCGCCGACTACGATGAGACGTACGCGCCGGTCGGGAGCTACGTCACGCTGCGTATCTTCCTCAGCATCGTCGCCGTCCTCGACATGCACCTGATGCAGCTCGACATGAAGAACGCATTCCTGCAGAGCAAGCTCAACCGCATGCTCTACATGTACCAGCCTGACTACTGCGACGACGGGACCGGCCAGGTGTGCAAGCTGCTGAAGAGCTTGTACGGGCTGAAGCAGTCGCCGCTGCTGTGGTACTCGGCTCTCGACACGGTGCTGACCGGCGCTGGCTGGAGCAAGAGCCAGGTCGACGAGGCTCTCTACTTCAAGGTCGCCGACTGGGTGCTCGTCTACGTCGACGACTTGCTCGCCGCCAGCAGCAGCACCGCGATGTTGAGGGAGCTGAAGGAGCTGCTGGAGGCCGCTTTTGAGCTGCGCGAGATCAGCCCGGTCGAGAAGTATCTCGGGCTGGAGATCGTGCGCGACCGACCTGCGCGGAAGTTGTGTCTTCACCAGCAGGCCTTCGTCGACAAGCTGCGTAGGCATTTCATCAACGAGGAGCAGACCGGGCGGATCCCGAAGACGCCGGTCTCCGTCACCGCCTACGCCGAGCTGATGTTCGACAACGAGGATGCTCAGTCGCGCGAGGAGGAGGAATACCGGCAGAAGGTCGGCTCGCTGCAGTTCGCGGCGACCAAGACGAGGCCGGACATCGCCATCGCGTGCAGCAAGATGGGGAGCGGCCTGACGGTGCGGAGCGACAACCATTGGCGCGAGGTCGACCGCTGCCTGCGCTACTTCGCCGACACCTGTGACGCCGCCTTGGAGTTCGGCGGCGGACCAGAGTCGCTGTGCCTGGCCGGCTACGTGGACGCCGACGACACCGGCGACAAGCAGAATCGTACGAGCACGGGCGGCTACGTGTTCGTCTTCGGTGGGGCCGCCATCTCCTGCACGAGCCAGCGCATCAAGTGCGCGACACTCTCGTCGACCAAGTCGGAGTACGTCGCGGCCACCGAGGCCGGCAAGGAGGTGCGCCGACTTCGCTTCCTCCTCGCCGAGTTCCACCTGCTCGACGTTGGGACGCCGAATGTCCTCCGTGTGGACAACCAGTTGGCCATCACGGTCGTTGAGGGCTTGGGGCTGAAAGGCAACCTCAAGCATATGGAGCGACGCTACGCTTGGCTGCATCAGATGGTGAAGCGCGGGAAGTTCGTACTGCGGTATATCCCGACCGACGAGCAGCCGGCTGACTTCCTGACGAAGGCGCTGCACTTTCCGGTCTTCAACCGGTGCTCCATCGCGATCGGCCAAGTTCGTCTGGCCGACGTCAGCGATGGTGACAAAGACGTGCAGAAGTAGGTACCATGACCTTCAACTTGGCTGGTGCGGTGAGATGTTGCGCGACGACGAACGCGCCGACGAAGTTCATTTCGTCACCTGTATTCTATGATAGCTAGTTTCCTTTCGCATAGTGTTAACCTCCTTTGTGCCCATGCGCTAGCAGGGCAGGGGAGTGTTGAGAAGAGCCCTGCATGTGCATCGGCGAGATCTGGAGCTTATGCGCAGGCTGGGCCAAGAACCTCGTGCACAAGGAGAAAGGTTGACTGTACAAGGGGTGTACCAGGGAACCCGTGCACGAGGAAATGTAGCATCCGCAGGTGTAACGGAAACATCTCGTGCACATGTGCAGGGGGCGCAGCTGGTGCAGAGGTTCGCGAGAGTTCATCTGCGCATGGTCACGTCAACCCCTGCGCACCCTCACGAACGCAGAATTGAATTTCGACGAGAAATTCAATGTGCGCGAATTTCGACCAATGAGGGCACAGGGAATTTCGACCAATCAGGTCTTGGCGGAAATTGTACCCGCCAGGAGAAATTGAACCAGAAACAGAAAGAGAACCTGCTACACGTTTTTGTAACCACAAAAACGTGCACACCTATGCTTGGTGTACAACATGGGCAACTACTTAGTTAGGTGATACATGGGCTTGTTTTTTCACCAGCCATTGCTGCGTTGGCAAGGCACATGCTTGGTAGTTAGGTAAATGTTCCTCTAGGAAAGTTTATGCAGGGCTCCTTTGCCCTAGTATATTGGTTCAAATTTTCTTGTACTCTACTTGTTTAATTCCTTTTCTTAGTGAAACCTATGCTTGGATTCTACTAAGTCAACAACAAATATGTCAAGAGCAACAATCTGAATTATACCCTTCGCGCCATCACGCCATTCTGATCTCCTCCGTAGGTTAGAATTCTCTGAAATAACAGCATTCCACAAATAGGGGGTGTTTGTCGTATGGAACCCAGTACTTATGGATCTTACAAGAACGCAACAACGATGTCGTTCGCTTCGTCGAACTCCCCCTACCCACTTCGAATTACACCACAGAGTCATTTTGGCGAGCTGATGTTCACCCGTCTCCCACCTCCTTTTTATTTTGTTCACCCCCGGACAGTATCGGCGAGCCACCGCTCACCCAGCGGTTGCGTTTGTCGGATGAGGTATTTTTCTTTGTTGCCCACGATTTGTTTGACATTTGGTGAAGGCGCGAACTCTCACGTGGCTGCTTCGTTGCCTACCGCGTCTATCGCGCTTAAAATCCACAGCTTCGGAAACTCCGTCTTCGCCACTACGTCTTTGTCGGATAGACTGCCGCATTAGGAGAAGCCCCGAAACTGCCACAACTTCTTCAACTCCGACTCTTTGGCAGGGGAACTGTTGCTGATAGTCAGATTTCGCGCTACTCCCACGCCCAGCTGTCGAACGAGTGCAATACCTACGCTTTTGAACCAGCACAGGACTAAACACAGGGCCCCACGTCCAGAACCAACAGGAACTTAGCCTTCGAGGTAACTGGTGTGGGGTATTTGAGCCGTTCGCAAACCTGGGCCGGCTACCCATCCGGCTACCGCCGCTTAGCCGCAAACTTTTAGGCACCAGCTAGAGCATTTCCCCGTTGGTCGTTTTCGAGCCTCCTGAATCCCGAAACCCGTGTCTCTCGCCAGACTCGCATTAGACGCAACTCCGTTTATTGTAGCTGGTAGAACCCCTGAAAATTGCGGGTCTAGCCGCTGCGCCGGACCGTTGTCCCGTGGTGGACTGCCTTGTCTGCGACACAACTACCTCTAGCCGAAGGGACCTGTGCCGCTTGAAGTATGGAATCGGCTGCCACTGTTGCTCCAAAAAAATTCACCGATCTTTTCGTTGCCAGGGACAGCAGTGACCCAACCGGAACAATCTGGTCGTAGTCGAAAATTCCGATCTTTTCAGTGGTCTGAAAACGATGTTCCGTCTCACACTGTGACGCTCCTGCCGAAAAATCCCACGACGCAGCAACACCGCTACACCCGGGCGGGACGACGGTAGACCCCCACATACTTCGGGCAGTCGCCACATCGCCTCTCCTCGCCGTCGCGTTTTATGAAGCAAATCACCATGCGCCTGGCTTGCTCAGCCAGCTGTCCTTTCCCACCCGTTGAAAACGCCGAAAAACTCGTGCACAACGTGACAACGAACCCCCGACGCCACTTGCTGACGTGCGCCACGTGGCAAAGAATCAGCAGGAAAAATCGTGCTCAGTTGACGACGGTGCAGTGACGCCGACTCGCACCACGTTGCTTCCGAAAACCTCGGACGTGCACTGACGACGACCCGCTGACGCCAGCTGCCGTACAAAATCAACTCCAAGTTTGACGGAAAACCACGCACTTAACTCACATAATGAAAGTGCGACAGCCATAGCTCTCCACCACCCGGGGGGAGGGAGGGTACGGTCGATCGGGACCGGCGAAGGCAAGGATCTGGCGGTGCCGAAGGAGCACGATAATTTCCATGGCCGTTGGGAGCAACTAACTCGTTCTCTTGGCCGGCCGTCATGCACCTCCTGGACCCCAAGACATCCTTCCTTCTCCCCCCCCCTAGGGGTAATACACTATAAAAAGTGGGGTGAGCTAGGAAAGTAGCTCCGATACCAAATGTTATAAGTTGAACTAAAAGAGTGCGCGAAATAACTTAATAATGAGACGCTGATCACGGAAGCTATCGATACAATGAAAGTGACGAGCAAATATAGGGTTTTCCTGACTAGGCGAGGACCTCGGGGTGAGCGAGGGTTGGAAAGGTGGCGGTTGGTGCGGGGCCGACTCGGAAATTGTTCGGGCCGTATGAGAAGGCCGAACCTAGCTGACACGAGATGCTCAGGACATCCTCGCTAAGGGATGTCTATAGTAAGGAGTTTGTAATTCCTTACAGATATTGTGAAAATCGAACCTTGAAATCGAACGACCGTCACTGTTGTTATTCAAACACCCGGTAACCGAACTCCTGCCTTTCGGCGCCAAGTCTTGTAAAATCGCTAGGGCACTTTAAAATAACACATTTTCTTTTTTATAATTATTATTTAAAGGATGTAATGTCATTATAGGGATAACGCATACATCCACAGTCATAACTAAGTGGGGGAAGGGAACGGGGAGACAGGTGTATGCACAGCCCTTCCATGGACTTTTATGGCGAGCGGAGCTGGGTCCTTGGATCCTCCCAGATCGACTTGAAGCCATCCCTCCACATCATTGTTTTCTCGTCGCGAAACAACCGACACATCACCACCGCCTCATCCTGTGCCAGGTAAGCCCAACTTCTGTCCTTGCCGCCTTTGTCACTACCAGCCACCCATCTCTTGTGTGCACTGTAGATTCCGATATGTCTTAGGAAATTCACCCCGATTTTCCGAAGTACCCGCCTCGGTTGGAAAGTGTCTTGCGAAAACTCTGCATTGCACCTCTCTTTGGTGGAAGGCGACAACAATTAGCAGCTTTTCTAAAAAGCCCGACCTCGTACAATCCTCCGAGAATAGAAATTCTTCCAGCCTACCCACATCCCTCGTCTGATTCATCAGCTGCAGAGCCCCCTTGAGTGCGCCCATGACAGGTTGGATGACGCGGCAGTCCAGCAGGCAGTGAGCTAGGGTTTCGGCTTCACCGCAGTGCGGGCAACATACATGCGCTCCAAGAAAATGCAGCCTCTCCCCTACTTGCTGGTTTTTGCAATGTAGCCTCAGCATTATTTCCCTTGACCTGCACGGTGTGACCAGGGAGTCCCTCTTCCTAACGATCTCCTTCCATGCTTCTGCCGTACTATGCCTCCCATCTCAGCTGCTGGTCCGGTTGCTCGGCAGGGTCCCTCAGCACAGACTTATCCTCCTCTGCGACGCCCCTCTTCCCTCCTCTGCGAGTGAGCAAGAATGTCAGCCAGTGGAGCTCCTGAGCAGCCATGGCACTGTCGTAGATCTCGGCCTCAGCACTGGACGAAGCGACAGACAACGACCGGGTAGACCTCCACGACACAGCTCGAGCTCCAGACCTCCAAGACATGGTCTCCAAGTCGTCGGCGTAGGACGAGTCACAGTGTCCAGTAAGCCGCACTTGCTGTGTCCCTCCAAGCACAAGCCCCATGCCTGATGTAGTTGCCAGGTACTTCGCTACCCTCGTAGCAGCTGTCCAGTGCACAGGACGGTGTCTACCACTCGCAACAAAGCGAGCCACGACAATGAGAGGGTAAGCGAGGTCCGGACGAGTACAGGTCATCAGGTACATGAGGCAACCTACAAGCTCTGCGTAGGGACCAGTAGGCTCAAACGGCTCGTCAGGAAGTGGAGAAGTGAGTCTGTGGTCAACAGCAAGTGGAATGGGCTGTGTGGTGGAAAACTGAAGCTCGAAGCGCCGAAGGACCTGCTCCACTATGTGTGACTGAGTCAGCGTGCTGATGCGAGCGGCTCTGTCCCTGATGATCTGCAAGCCAATGTAGCTGAGCAGT